ATGATTTTATTCAATTACTATACAAAATATCAAATCCTTTGAATATTATTTTTATTATTTATATTTATTAATCAACATTAAAAGATCTAATATTTCATTGGAATCTTATGAAAGTGTTCATCAAAGAATAGATTCATCACATTCTTTGAAGTTATATTACATTACTGTGTATTTTCAAATAATAATATGTTTCAAATATAACAAAAATATATCTATATATATTATTATTATATTTTTGTATTATTATTTATATACGAGATTACTTAAATAGAATTCATTTGATAAGATGATATTAAACTACCATGACACAAAACATTTCAAATAAATTCTCAGAATTAACTTAGAATTTTCAAAGTTATATGTTATTTTCGTAGAAACAATTATATCGTGTGATTTATATCAATAAGATTATATTAACTGAAATATGTCGTTTCAATACGTTGACCCTTTGAGATTGGTTATTCTATTCTCTAGAACGGAGAACAGTTTCCTAAGAGTGGCAAATGAAAAATTGCACGATTCGTTCGTGGAACACTCGGTGATGCATGATCTCAAACAGCAGCCGGTACCAATGATAGCATAAATACTCGGAACATAGTGCTAAGAAACGATTTACACGTCGTTCAAACGTTCAATCTGATTCCGCGGTATGGAAAAATTTCAAGAATATACGATAAAAGAAACAAACTTAACTGAAACGTCATAATCACTTGCAATCCCTTAGAAATCTTTTTAATTTCGAATCAAAATAATTCTTTTATATATCAATTTTTAAATATACTAACTACATCTGCATTACACATTTGTGTAAAAGCACACGTTTTATTATTATTTAACTGTTATCAAAATTTATCTGATGTTTTTAATTTAAATATAATAAACTTTCGTAACAATTAATACAATTTATAATATATAAAATTGAAATTCTTTAAAGATACTTGTAAGATTTTTTTAAATATATTTGGAATAACTAAATTTTGTTAAATAATTAAAATAGTTATATAGAAATAAATATGGTTACTTTGAGACGAGTATATTTTATAATACTTTAATAAATATTTCTGCCAGAGTAAAGTGTAATTAATTTTCTATATATATAAAAAATCAAGCATTTGAGAAATATAACTTTCGATAATTTCGAGATATTTTATATACGGTGCATCAAATTTTTTTTCCGCATAACATTGACAACATATTTACGAATAAAAAATAATAGAAAAATGTTGAAAATGAGAAATCATTTTTGAGAAAAGAAATATGTCAAAACGTATTCCGACCAGTGAAAAATAACAAAACTTAAATAATTATTATTTTGCAATTGTTTAAATCAAATATAATATACGATAAGTATAATTAAATAATGTTTCAACAATAATACATTAGTTTAAACATTAATATATATGATACTTCGAATATTATTAAATTTCTATTTGATATATTATGTTAGATAAAAATTTGAAACAAATTTATCACTGAACAAGAACGTTAAAACATATATATATAATATTTTAATATTTATAAACGATTTTAAATATTATTAAATTATATTAGAATGTTAGATATATACCTTAAATGATTGTTAATTAATCGTAGGAAACGTGTATTATAATTTAAAAGCACGGGAGAATAAGTTCGATGTACTATTCTCTTCGAAATCCAAGGTTAGACTGAACTGTTTGTTTTCTGTAACAGTCAAATCAAATTCTTTTGTTGATGATCGTTATTTATATGACTCATCGAAGGTTGTATGTATTGCGAAAATAATATTCGTTCTAAACACTGTACTAAGATGATAACTTTTTTTAATTTGAATATTCTTTTAACGTTTACTTTTACGTTTTTATGTTTCTCATACATTTTTATTTAAAATCGTAGATATATTTTTTGTTATATAATTCATTCGCGTATTCATATTCAAATGTATTTTTCAAAGATACGTACGAGTAATAATCGTTCAAAAACAAACTCTAAAGTATAGCTAAATATAAATCACTCGAATCATTAGATGCACGAACTGAATATCATCACACTTTATGATTCTGTGTTTTCTCACTTTAAATATTATTTTATATTTAACTTCTAATAAATATTTATTTTTAAATATTAAATAATAAAAGATAGAGTAAATATATATATAAATATATTTACTATCTCATATATTATTTATCTCATTTTATTAAAAATTCAATTTTTTATTCTATTGTCTATTAAATTAGTAATTTTATACACATAACACTATTTTCATTTTTACTATCAATATAAATTAATTTCTTTATATGTATTGAGTATCTTTAATTCGTATCTATTAAATGTAACAATTAATTCGATGCTTCTTTTTTTTTTAAACAAATTTAATATTTCATTTAAAATTCCATTATTTTCGATGATATCTTTTAACTAACGAATTTCTGAATCAAAAAAAAAAGATACTGATTTTGATACCTTATCACTTCTACGTCGTATGTGACTCGACATAACATTTTTAAATTAACACAATGTAATATTTAAAATAATGAATAATATTTAAATTTCAAATAAAGTGTAATGGGGAAAAAATATGAATATTTTAATCGATAAATTTAATAACGTCCAATCGCATTTTCATTCACATTTTATCGAACATTCTTATAGAAATTATTTAACAAAAGAAAAAGAAATAGAAAAGAAAGAAAATTTTCTATTAAAAATTTTATACGATATCGAAATGGTTTCTACACTTTGTGCATCGTTTGCAATCTTGCAATCTGTCTAGTTTTAAATGAAAATAAAAAAAAAAAAAAAGAAAGAAAAAAACGGGGTAGGAAAAAAATAAAAGATTTTTTTCGCGTGGGCGAATGAGTGTACACTTTCGTTGTGAGTTCTCTGACAACTCTAGTTGGAAACCGGTACCAGCTTCTCTCGAGAGTTGCACAAAAAGACAATGGAATGACCTTACAACTCGAATATGGTAAAACCAGATTTTACGTCTTTGCCGTTGCCCTCGAGTTACAGTACCTGGACCCCGAACCTTTTCTTTATTTTATTTTTTTCTTCCCCCCCCC